ATCCCTCCTCTGTTACAGAACCCTAATTTCATTCCCCTTACTTTCTATGCTTCTTCTCCTTTCCCAATCTCTAGGGTTTAGTGGTTGACCCCAAATCCCTTCCTCCAATGGGCGCCGTCGCCGTTAATCGCAAGCGCACGGAAGATTCCTTCGACTTCAATCAACAATCCCCATGCCCAGCTTCGAAGAAACGCAGATTCTCCTTCGGAATCACCTCTCCAGATTCCAATAAGCCGTATTCGTCCGCAATCTCGAGGATTTCGAGGTATCCTGATGCGAAGGCTCCTCTTAGACGAGAGATTCACGCCCCCAGCAGAGCCAATCTCAGATACGGTTTACCCAAACCCAAACCCTACGATGATGCCAAGAGAAGAGCTTTCGATGCGTTGAGGTTCTTTAGCAAAGATAACAAAAGAATTATTGATTTGGGAGAGGATAAAGAGGTTCCTGTGAATGTAAAGGGAGCAGTTTCCGAAGTTTCAAGCGTTGAAGTTGTTGATTGTGATCTTGAGGAGGAGGAGGAGAAGAAGAATGCTCATGTTGAACCTCCTCCTTCAAGCTTGAGAAGAGTTGATGATGACACTACTAGTTCCATGTCTTTAGCTAGACAAGAGGCTGCTTCCAGCCTCGAAGCCTATAAGAAGCTTTTGCAGAGCGCAGAGAGGAGGAACTCAAAGTTGGAAGCTTTGGGATTTGAGATTTTGTTCAATGAGAAGAAGTTGTCACAGCTTCGCCAGTCTCGTCCAAAGCCTGTCGAGAAGGCTCTCAAGGTAATACGATCCTTATTTGCGTTTATAAGCATCATACAGTCTGTGATTTTTTTGCTTTTTGTTGGTGTTGTTGTTAACATTTCTGTTGTTGTGGTTTTGATGTAAAGAAGGTGCCTGATGAACCTTTTATACCTCTCACAGAGGAAGAGGAGGCTCAAGTCTACTGTGCCTTTTCTGCTAAAAATAGGTATGGTAAAGAGGTTCCTAGCATGTTTGTGTTGTATCTAACCCAATCTATATGTATCCCTCTTTTTCAGAAGGAAAGTATTGGTTACTCATGCGAATTCAAACATTGATATTACTGGAGAAGTTCTACAATGCCTTACACCATCTGCATGGCTAAACGACGAGGTACCTACTGGTTCCTCATTAGAGGACTCTTCATGGTTAAGAACTCTTGAATGAGATCCTCTTTTGTTTTGTAGGTTATCAATGTCTATCTCGAACTACTCAAAGAAAGAGAAACTAGAGAGCCCAAAAAGTATTTGAAGTGTCATTTCTTCAATACCTTTTTCTACAAAAAGGTTTGTTTTCTTTTGTGTGCTCGCGTGATTCTTAGGTACAGTATCGATCTTTTTTTCTATCGTGTCAGTTGGTTTGTTTAGCTGCTACTTGCTTCCAGAAAAAAAACTATAAGCAGTATGTTTTGCTAAGATCATTTATCTCTGTCTTCTGTATCCCATGAACAAAAGTTGTGGCCCTTTTATATATTGATGAATCATCTTGGATTCATGTTGTTCTTTCTCACATGGCTGTCTTTCAGCTGGTAAGCGACTCTGGTTATAACTATAAAGCTGTTAGGAGATGGACTACGCAGAGAAAGCTGGGATATGCTCTTATTGACTGTGACATGGTAATGTTTTTTTGAAAAACCTAGATTCTCTTTGTTGATCCTACAAGTGAAGATCATTTTATGTATGTTTAAACCATTCTTTGCCCTTTTGCAGATATTTGTTCCCATCCACAGGGGTGTGCATTGGACCTTGGCAGTTATTAACAATAGGGATCGCAAGTTCTTGTATCTCGATTCACTAAATGGAGTTGATTCCAAGATTTTGAATGCTCTGGTATAGTTTAGTTTCCAACTCTGATACTCTTTATTTAGTCTCTTATTGACATATTGGAGTGTCATTAAAGGATATGAGATGACATTGATTAACTCATAAACATGAAGTGAATAGTTGATGTTGTTATATTTTTCCCATTATTTGTTGATTCTAAAACTTGTCCTAGTCATTGTTTAGATGCCAGAAGCTATTATTTCTTTCTTAAACACCACTGTGAAAATATCCTAACCAAAACAGTCCCTATAGCTGATGCTGCAACTGATATGGGTGTTTCAGGCAAAATATTTGGGCGATGAAGCTAAGGAAAAAAGTGGAAAAGACGTTGATGTTAGTTCGTGGGATATGGAATTTGTTGAAGACCTTCCCCAACAACAAAATGGGTATGTAACTCTATCTTTGAACTTGCTATTGTTGTGTGATTATTTGTATAGGAACTTGTTAGGGGATCAACAAGCATAGCTTGGGAAAACTCTTGATTTTCGTTGTCTCATGATGGAGTGTTGCTAAAATATCATTATCTTAATGATGTGGTGTCGACTCACACGCAATTCTAATACTAGCTCCCTCTGGGAGTTTGATCACCAAACACAATCTGAATGGCCATTGTGTTTATGCTCGTAGCTTTATGCTAACCTTGTAATCTTCTTGTTAATTCATTTTATGTATTTATTCTTCAGGTATGACTGTGGAATGTTTATGCTTAAGTACATCGACTTTTTCAGTAGAGGGCTGGGGCTATATTTCAGCCAGGTAAGCTATCTGGATCCAGATTCCTCAATGCTTCAAAAAAGTTGCAGTTAAAAAGTTAACTGGTTGTCTACAATCGGTTACGGAATTAGCATATATCTTAAAGCATTTTATATAATGTGAATGTTCCAGAGGATTTGATTACAAAAGTGTTTTACTTTGGTGCAGGAACATATGCCATACTTCCGGCTAAGAACGGCTAAAGAGATTCTGAGACTACGTGCTGACTGAAGTTACATTGGGGCTATATATTATGCATGTCGAATTTTAGGAGTGCTGTTTTGCTGATTTGCTGAAGCTTTTAAATTTTCTACCCCTTTAAGGCAGTAAAGCATTCAGCTTCAGAGGCAGAGGCAAACACTGAGCCAAGCCACAAAGCCCTTAGTCTTTTGTTTTCTTTTTGTTAAAATTGTAGATGAAGCTGATATAATGAAACCTTAGTTGTTTGTAATGAACTGGTCCAGTTTTCCCCCTCTGTATGCTTCCTATTTTCGGGATATGTCAGTCAACAAGGTACTACATCAATTAAGAGAAATAATCTTGAAAGTGTTGACCAAGTTTAATGTATTTCATGTGTAGATTTAATCTTAACTACACGACGTCCATGTTCCATAGCCTCCATGAATCACAATGAAGTATACTATTTATCATATAGTTTCTTTGAAAGTTGTTGTCTTACATAAAGCAAACGATCTTCACAATTTTCCCCAATACTATACACAAATAAATGTGTTACAAGTATAATACAACCAACTGTTTCGATTACGAGTTCCACATGACTGATATTATGGCAGCGTAAAGAACGATTAACATTTCATTATCAATGTTTTAGAAGACATTGAATACAAATGCTGACAAAGGAAGGACAGAGAGAAAAAGCAACAAAATATAAAATTGAGAAATTAGAAAAGCAAAAACACAATCCCCAATTCACAAAAACACGAGAGGAAGGAAGATTTGTGTGTTATCAGTAGAATAAAAGATCACCTGATTTGAAACCCAAAACTAACTATCATTTCCCCTTTTCTCTAGCACGGAACTCTCTTACGGCTAAGGATCTCTTGTTCTTTCAGACGGTGTTGGAACCGAGCGAGACGAGCTTGAAGGCTTACCAGCCCAGCTGCTTTACGGGACAAGACAAAGCTCAACTGTGTCACATAGTTATCAATCATGCTCCCTGGCCGATCCACCTCCGCTAGTAATTTCATTTCCTGCTCAAACCAACAAAACCAATGTTACAATAACCAAAAGACATAATAAGCCAATAACAAGCAGGTGAATTGGCTTTATTTTGTTGTACCTCGCGAACAATCTCCATTGTATCCTCGATTTCTTTTCTGTGCGCTGTAATTAAGGCTTCTTCCTCCTGCCAGAGATCAAAAACCAATTATAACTAAACCGCACAACAGGTTTCTTTTTTCAAATTCATTACATTCTCTGGAAGCAGATCGGTGATTACCTCAAGCAATGCACTGATGTTTTCATCAGGAGAAGGCGGCTCCGCTATTGTTTCATATTGCCTTGAAGAAGTGTCGCTTGTGTTTTGACTGGTGGTAGTACTATTGAGCTGTCTGAAGTTTATCGTGGCAGGGACATCAGATGCGCTGATGGAATCTCGTTTTGACAAATTTTGATGTCTTTCTGGTTTTTCCTCCCGGGAAACTTTCCTACGAGGCGGTGATACCTTCTTCACTTTTCCTTCTTGATCTGAAGCGTCTTGAGGATACGAAGATGACTGCATCCTTTGACTAGTGGAACCGCTCGTATCTGATCTTCCTCTGTCCATTGATATCGATGGTATTTCACTTTCCTCTTTAATGCTGACTGGATATGGAGATGGGTCATTTAATGGCTGCTTGAATTCAATACCCGAACTAGAGTAGCTCCTGTCTTTCTCTACCCTCCTCCCTGTCTCCTGTGCATTGTATTCCTGCGGAGGCTCAAAGACATCATCTGCATTATTTGAAGCTAGTTGAAAAGAAGAAGCCAAAGAAACATCCTTATTAGCTGGCGGCAACGAGTTAAACGTTTGCTCCTTCTTGCTATTTCCACTTTTAGATAGACTTTTAACCCTGTTGTAGAATTAGTGAATCACAGACATGAGTTCAAGAGTTATTTTAGAAAGGTTTTTAGCTTATCAAAACATACCGATCCGCGTATCTCAATGTATTTAGGGTATGTTCACATGATCCTTCGTTTGGAGAGATGCATGAAATCATCACGGTTCTTGAGTTTCCAACAAATGAGTCACGGAGCACTTCAGTTAGTTTGCTTCCTCGGAATGGAATATGTAGCTGGTCATTGTCCAGCGCGCGGATACATTCTTTCAGAGCTAAAAGACTCTTATTGATTTCTGCACCTTCAATCCTAAGAAACAACCATTGTCAATAAAGAACAGTTTAGATCAAGAGTAGTCATATTAAAGCCTAGGTTCAACATAGATGGGGAGGTCAATACTCAAAACTCTTCTACAACGATGACCTTACCTTGTCTGGCGGTCATTATCTGTGGTGTCTGCACCTCTTTCACTTCCAGCAAGATCAATGAAAGAAATCTTCCCCACAACTTTCCCTCGTGACTCGTTATTATCATTATTACTTCGTCGGGTATCTTTTACCTCCACATGCTTTTTGACAACAAGCTGCAAAATAGCATGTGATCTAGAAGATTCCTCATTGGCGCCAGTTGATCCTGTGCTCCTTGAAGCACTCCCTTTATCGATAAAATCCTTTACGATTTGAATATCCGAAACTTCAAACTCTTGCAGGCCAACAATGCAAACTTGTTGTCTACCGTCTTCTCGCATACAAAGTTTCCTGCTCAGCAACGACCAAATTAGTCAGCCAACTATTCACATGCATTTGTAATACAAGCAAACAGTACTCAGAGTATAGAGACTGATAAAAGAGTACAATATATACTACAATGTCCAAACAGTACTCTAGGTGTTGACGTTTTGTCCAGCGGCATTTTTCTAAACAACTCATAATACCATATGTGACATTTAAATCATATGAGAACAGAAAAAGAAACACGAACTTTCTCTGGGAAAGAAGATCGTAGAGCTTTCCACCATATATCTCGAAATAACTAAGCCACAACTTAAGCCTTTGATCACGATATACTGGTTCTTTCAACATCCTCATAAGATCTTGAACAGCCCGTATGGGCAGTGGTTTCATTGTGAATGTCTTACCGCTACCTAATTAAAGCAAAACATTATCAAGGTCACAGAAGTCTAAAGATAATATTAACGTGTAATAAAAGTAGAAGGCGATAGGAGTACTAGACTTATTAATAACACTGACCTAAGAAATAATTTCCATGATCAAAAGTAGAATTATGTACCTGTTTGACCATATGCAAAACAGGTAGCTTTGGTTCTCTGAAAAATCGTGGGAATAATTGGCTCTATCGTGACCCGATACACCTGATCAACGGAACAGTAAACCAAGTTTAGAAAATATTGTACAGCTTAAAATTGGAAACTAGAAAAAAAGGTGGATGATTAGGATTGTTAGACTGTTATTTAAAGGTCAAAAGTTTGGTTCATGTTAAACTAATCTATGTATCTCGCATCTTGAATTACAATAAAGCACTCCCACTAGGATTGTCGGTAGATTTCAATTCCTTAAGCAATTAAATTACCTCGTCATTTGAAACATGCTCACCCAGAACAGCATCAAAGCAAAACTCATGATTTTCCATATATGCAGTCAAATCCACCTGCACCAACAAAGGTTAAGTTTTATTCAATATCAGAAAAAGAAATATAAAATGAAGAGGGTCTATGACCTTTCATCTCGTTGAACTGAATCATGGATGTCATCGTTATCTTTAATGAAGCACACACGAACCTTCAACTTGGTCTCGTGAACGGTCAAGGAATTATTAGATACGGTTATAATATCGTTCTCCTTTTTAGCGGTTTCCTTTTTATTCAGTGGTCTCTTCCTAACCTGAAATAAATATGTAAATTTGCTTAGTTCCCCCTGATAGTGACTATTGCTTGAAATTTCAACCAAGCAGAAGAAAATCAGGTAACAAGATTGCCATACCACTACTTTAATTTTGGCTACACTGTTCTCTCTTCCGGTATTTTCTTTTTCACTCCTCGGAAATGGACTCGAATGTTCAGCGTCCTGTTCTTGTCGCTGTTGTTGGTTAGCTGGCACACTGAAGTCTTCTTCAAAAGTTTGATTGACACTTGGAATGAAAGGTGATGGCTCAAACGGTTCAGAAATCACATGCTGTTACAAAAAAAGAAATATGAGTTAATTACACAAGCAATGAACTGGTAACTATTACGATGAAATAATTATCATTAAGCAATAAGCAGTAACCAAAATTCCACCAATAAGAAAACCTTTTCAACAGACCACATCCAAAGTGGCACATTCTCAACTACTTTTAATGGCAATAGCTCCTCTAAGTTAATGAATTACTTGCACACGTAGTTAACTTCAATATCTATATGAGAAAAGTAGTAATTGTGCTGACTAACAGCAGTATCCAGGTCTAAAATTAAAAGCCGTCTAAGTTTAGATGTCTAAAAGATGATTATATTGGGGCTGAATCATTAGCTGGTAGGTGAGCGTCAGTATAAGATTGTAAGGGGATGTTAACAAAAACAATAGCAACAACGAAGGTAGAACTCGAAAATATTCCTGATCCTACCATCTAGTTAGTGGTCAAAAATAGTAAAGTTCTGTGATCTAAATAACCCTTGCAAACATACCTCGGACAGAAGCTCAGTGTCATCCATAGCGGAAAGATCTAGCAACCCAGCTCCAAAGTCACCTCTAAACTCAGGTGAATAAAACCCATCTGAAGAGGGCATAGCTGCTGATGATTGAGCAGTGGGTGTATACGGCTCAGAAGCAGATTCCCCATTCAAATTAAGATTTCTCATTAATTTGAAAAGCCTTTGCTTCTCTTCAGCAGTTTGTGCTCCATAACCCTAATAAAAAATCTATCATAAAGGAGTAGTCCACTGAAAAGAGAAAAATGAGCAATAGGATGATCACATGTATAGAAACCACTACAGAAAAAAATCTTAATATACTACATGACACAGAATGAATTAGAAGGTGTAGAAGAAAAAATTTAACCCAAAACTTTATAACTAAGAATGTTATATGCCCTAACCACAAACATATTGAGCTAAGAAAACAAAGCAAATAAGTAAATGCAAGAAAGAAGATAGTACCTGCATGAGAAGGTGACGCTGATCAAGGCCAGTGGAAGCAAGAGGAGACCCCAGATGCTGTAAACCAGCGGACTGGAGCCACCGTGCCATGACGGCATCATTCGTTGAACCTGCATTGTTGAGAGCCCCATCCGGAGCAGCAGGAGCATTAGTATGGCCGCCCATGAGGCGCTGTGATCTTCTTTGAGGAGCCAGTAGAACGAACAACAACTCTTCATCCAAAACAAAAGCCACAGAGTCAATACCATCATCAGCACAGCACAGCAAGCAAGAAGCTCCCCGTCTTAATGAGAAATCGATTGCGATTGGTTACACAGGAAACTCACAAGGATTTTAGGATTCAAC